CATAATTATAATACAACAAACAAAAATTCAGTGTTCCCATGTTTAAATCACTTTGTCTGTATATATACTGTGCTTTCTACAGAGACTATTCCAAAAAAAAAATACCATAAGGAACTTTGTTTAGTGTAGTTTACCAAATAATAACTTTATGGTACAGTTTATGGAAACTGTGTAGTCAGAAAATATTGTTAAAAAGGGGAGCACTATTCTTAAGAAAAATTTGTTAAATTATAGTCTTGGAAAGTTTTGTATAAGTATACCTGTGGTCTTTGAGATATTGAATTGGATATTATTCCTGTGGAATTTATTCCAGGTCTGGTTGGTTGCAGACATGTTGCTAATTATGAATACAAGTTAGATTTTGACCATGAAAACAAAAAACAATTGCCTTAAAAAGATACTGACTGATGTACTGGTAATAGCATACACATAGACAAATTTTCAAATGAAAAATATACAATCCCTCATACACAAAATCAAATCATTTTGTGGACGGGTTTTGAAAGACGTGGTGGTATTATGCTCGAAAAAAAAATGAATACTGTAAACTGTTTTTCTTTCTGAATAAGGCAACAAGGAAGCATTCGCTGATGTGTAAGAACTTACTATTGACTAAGCTGATAAGGCAGCTTAGGTACTTATAATATGGCAAATAAAAATTCAGTATTCCCATGTTGAAATCACCTTGGCTGTATATAATATAATTTGCCATCTCTAGAAACTATTTCAGTGAAAAATACCATAAGAAACTTTGTTTAGTATAGTTTACCAAATAATAACTATTGAATGGTACAGTTCATAGAGACTGTGTAGTCAGAAAATATTGTTAAAAAGGGGAACACTATTCTTGAGAAAAATTTGTTAAATTATAGTCTCTGAAAACCTTTTTGTATAAGTATACCTGCGGTCTTCGAGATATTGAATTGGATAATATTCTTATGGAATTTATTCCAGGTCGGGGTTGGATGCAGACATGTTGCTAATTATGAATACAAGTTAGATTTTGACCATGAAAACATAAAACTATTGCCCTATTGCCTACATAAAAATAATACTGATGTTCTGGTAATAACATACACGTAGACAAATTTTCAAATGAAATATACAATCCCTCATACAGAAAATCAAATCATTTTGTATAGAGGTTTGCAAGGCGCGATAGTATTATGCTCGAGAAAAAATGAATATTGTATACTGTTTAAAAAACCTTTCTTTGTTCTTTACTTGAAAACAACTCCTGTTCGACAACCCATGTTGTTGGATACGGTACATTGAAATCTGTGAAATCGTATTTCTTATTTGTCCCGTATCGATGCCTTTTGCCCCAAACGAAGCCCTCACAACCGTCCACTGTTATCAGAAAATTTGACTACTGATTTTAAAAAGGATTGGAACCTTCATGACTGGGCAATGCCTAGTAAATTATTTATTGTGGTCGCCTGTAACATTGCCTAGAGGTAAGAACCCTTTACTTGTGAGTGAGTGATCTTGCTTTGAGTTAATTTTATTCTTTTCTATAATACTGACGTTTGGAAATTAGTTACCAGTTGCAGCTTTGCCAGGTTATATTACAGCTAGCTCCCTATAGCCAGCTGAGACAACGGAACTTTTTTCAATGTCCACACAAATTTGAAATGTTAGATTTAGGCCAGGCTTGGCTGTGGGGCATCTGGCTAAGCATTAGTGATATGCTCGCCAACTCACCTCTGATTACCCTGCATGGGTTCGAAAGTCTAATTCAATGCAGGGATAGGTATGTACGGAAGAATTGTTGGATTCCTCGTCACCATGGGGTGGTTCACATAACTTTGGTCGCTTACTCTGCCATCAAGTACATGCTTCCGGAAACGAACTAACTAACTAATCCCAAATCCTACATGGACTCGTATCCGGACGAGAGGCCATGATATGTCATATGATTGAGCCTACCTTAGTGGCTTTCCTCTCCCCTGGCATAAATAAATGAATCCTATCCCATATTAGAGTTGACAGTGGGGATGGCGGAGATGCGTGATTTACTATAAACATGTTCAAATGTAAAATATAGAGAATATGGTAATTTGTCTGGATATCAGTCTAGTAGGTCAGGGTGTCAAACTTGTGGGTTTTCGGGTTGACAGTGGGGATGGCGGAGATGTGTGATTTACTATAAACATGTTCAAATGTAAAATATAGAGAATATGGTAATTTGTCTGGATATCAGTCTAGGTCAGGGGTGTCAAACTTGTGGGTTTTCGGGTGCCGCATTGCATTTTGGGAATTGTGCAAAGGGCCGCAGACTGTTTTTGATATATTTTTATAATGTATACTTGAAGCATATTTTAGATAGGTGTAGTTTGTGACATATATTGTGATGCAATTAAACAGCTGAATGAAGTTTTATTATTTTCCTAAATTTCAAATGCCATTTAAATATTAATTTTTCTGCATTTCACTGTTATTGCAATTTACTGTATTTATTACAAAAAAACATAGGTTTTTATGTACAACTATCCAAAACATTTTTGAACAAAGTTTTGATAAGGAAAGAATAATACATACACTAAAAATAACTTCATCTAAATATATAGACCTAAAATACTACAGAATAAATACTACAGAATAATATTTTCATTACATATGTCCTACGTTTGGCATCTCTTTTGAGCCACCAGCTTACAAATATCAGGCATAAATGATTTTACAGTACCAACTCAATTAACGAGGTCACATGATCATCGGTTAATCTGGATCGTTGAGAATGTTCGATTAATTTCAGTAATGCCAAAATATTACGTTTATCATTTCATGTATAGATCAGTAAACAAACAAATGACTGACTTTTTGGACCAGACATTTCCCGCCACATTTCGCGACATTTCTAACCATTACGTGGCATCTGGCGCTTGAGTTATGGTTGATATTGATTTTTAGTAACTAGGTAGTTGTATAATTATAATAATATACGAACAAATAACAATTTCTGCTTCAGAATTTTGAGAAATGCAGAAATATTGCAACTCCAAGCTCCCAACTTCCTTCAAATATACTTTTTCTAGCTTGAGGTGTATCCATAATTGGTTCAAATTGAAAACAAATAAAATTTTGATTTTTTAAAACTACTTTCAGTAAATTGTCGTTTTGTGTGTGTAGGTAGATATTGTGTGTTGTGTGTGTGTAGATAAGAAAACTTCCAAAATATTACAATTATTGTTGAGCGTTCGAGGGCCGCATTGGCAGTTCTCTGGGGCCGCAAGTTTGACACCCCTGGTCTAGGTCACTGTTTTCCAAACTATGAGTCATGTTGACACAATGGTTGTAGAAGCATAGTCGAACCTCATACTAAAAATTGTGATGATACTAAATTGAATATATATTTTATTTCAGGTACAGAAAAGCTGGTCTATATTGTGATTTTACGATCAAAGTTGGTTCAGAAAAATTCCGAGTGCATAAGATTATTTTGTCTACTGCAACTGATTATTTCAAATTAATGTTTCGACATGAGGTTAGTATATTTATAATATCTGAATACAAATATAATAGTTGGCATTATGGCTTAGTCAACCCAGTTCAAATCTCATGCCCACCACCTCACCCAGGATGGGCAATGCCAACTGAGAAGATTCTGGTTGTTTTCAAAGTAATAGATTCTTAGCTATTAGTGATTGCTTATACTGCTTTGTTTGCAATAAAAACCGTGAAATATAAGTCATAAAAAGTGAAAGCTAACTCGTAAAAAAAAACGAACAAATGTTCATCGAAGTTCCATTCAATGACCATAGTTCTGTAGTATGTTGTGATCATGGGTTGACTTTCCACCATGCGAGACTAGGATTATTAATACAGAGTGGTCCAGTATTTCCCCAAAAATACTTATACTAGGTTAAGATGGTGGTATTGGCCTAACCATGGAGTAAGCAGGGCTTAAACTCAACATAATTTGACAACACACGAATCTGCCCTGGAAATATAGAAATCCTCCCAGGGTTCCCATAGACATGGATAGTGCAATAGAGGGTTTCAATAAAATGGTACACGATTGATATATGAGACAAATCTTGACAGTGTGATGTATCTATCTACTTGCAACTGCAATTTCTATCAAAATTATTTTTCAGACTGTTGAGACTCTGTCAGGAGAAGTTGATATCCAGGGTTTCAGGGCAGATACTATTGAGAAAGTTATCGAGTATATGTATACTTCCAAATTCCCTATTGATGAAACATCTGATATCGCATCATATATGCAATCTTCTCATATGTTCCAACTGGAAAGTGAGTTCGTTTTTCCTTGAAACTCTTTATTTGGAACCAATAAAGTGGATAGTCTATCCATATATCAAGACATGATATTTGATCATAAAAACCAGGGCCGTGGAATCGAGAAAAAATTACACACAATTCCTAACTCTAAACCACTCATGAGACTATTTCAGTTCTAACTATTGAATCCGGATTGCCAAAATTCTTGACTCCGGCTCCGGCTCCTAAATCCAGGTTTTAAAAATATTTGGACTATTTGTGAGGTTCCAACTTTAAAACTAAAATTTGACTACAAACAAGTTGACGTGCGCAAGGCTCTTTAAATTGTCTGCTGAGTTTATTATAGCGCGAAGCCTATACTCGAGTCCAATTTATCTACCGTATGCCTATGAGTTTACAATGCCTTAACAGCTAGCTTGTGCAAACAAGGCATGTAGTAGTATGTGTACCAGGTTAGGGTTCGGCCATAATTTCATTCCAATTTCCATATTTTAGTTCTATTACGAGTTTAGGGGCTATCCAAGTGACTCTCGTAGTAATTATACATAAAATTATGGCCTAACCCTAACCTATCACACATACTACGTTCCTTTGTCTTGGTTCAAATACTTAAGGAGTGCTGGATTTTTATGGTAAAATGGTTAGAGTCATATTGGGTTAAATATTCGGGAAACTTACTACTGAATATCTATGTTTTTTCTTATAATTTTTATTTTTTAATAATTTAAATTATTTCTTGATACAATCTTTTTCAGAATTATGTGGTGTCGTCACTGAATACCTGGAAAAGAATTTGGGCCCCAAGTCATACTTCATCACCATAAATATCTCGAAGTTGTACGATCTGAAACAGCTCGAAGCAAAATGTGATAAAATTGCTTCCAACAACTTCACTAAAATTGCAGAACTGGATGAATTCAAGGAAATAGATGAAAAACAGTTGGTGGGAATGATCAAGGCCAAGGAAAACACGGTTAGTGGAATATTAGTTATTGAGACTCTCATTTAATATTTCAGTCACACTTTGATTGATATTTACACTAATATTGATGGGTAGCTGTAGGATTTAAGATTTATATATTTTTCCTGAGGGAGAGGAAAGCCTCTAACATTGGTGAACCATTAGTCTTTGCCTCTCCTTCAGTCACTCCAGCTGGGATGCCGGGTATATGATCAGTTAGCCAAATATTTGTTCCAGTTTTATGAACTTGATGGTGGAGGAAGCCGTAACTAACCAGCGTTTGCATGAACCACCACACGACGGCAAGGAGTCCAGCCATGTTCTCGCACATTACTGTCCCTTCATTGAGTTCGAACTTGCGAACCTACAAAGAGAAATCAGAGGTGCGATGAAAGCATAATTCTACCATCTCGTGCCAGACCGCTGAGCCAAGCTCAGGTTTACTTGGCCCATAAAGGTTTGTTTACACAGGCCTTTTCTCCTTACTTTAAGATATATTTGTTAGTCCACGATCTATGGATTTGTATTTTCATAATATTCAATGTTGTCCAGATAACCAGATTCCTGAACTTGAAAATATTTCAGGATATTTTTTTTAAAAGATAAAAAAAGAACCTTTATCTATTTTAGGCAACTGAAGAGGAAAAATGCTTGGCTTTGATGAATTGGACAAAATTTGATAAGAAGAAACGTTCAAAGCGATTTGTCAAATCTTTCAAGCAATTTGATTTGACCAAGATATCACTTTCATTTCGCAGAAATCTTCTGGAGCAAGATGTAAGTCTCTTAGTTTTTCACCAGTTTCTGTCATTGTACTGACTGAACAAACAAAAAAAATTTTCCGAAGTTATTTCCCAAGATTCAGTTACGTGGAATTAACTATCTCGTAGCTGCTTTCCTGGTCATATTGACCTTGAGTTCGATTTTGCCATTTTATAAAGTTAGTGTTTCCCGTGAACTCCCATTTTATCCAGCTGTGTACCATGCTAGGGTTAGGCCATAATTTCAGATACAAATACCACGAGAGTCACTTGGCTAGTCCCCGAACTCGTAATAGAACTAAAATAAAAAAAATTGGATAAAAAGGATGGCCTAACCCTAATCTGGTACCTGGTACACATACTACATTCCAGTGTCCGCCATTTTGGTTCACATACTTAAGAGTATCTTTTATCCTCAGAAGTGTTTAAGACATACCAGCTCAGTTTTAAAAAGCATATTTTTTTCAAATGTTGTAATGTAACCTTCAACGTATTATTTTGTTTGACTGCACACATGACTAATATTGTTTTTAATTTCTAATTTTTCAAATGTATTCAGAGTCTGATTGCTGCAAATCCAGAAACTCTTCGAATTGTAGCATTGTCAGTATTTGATAGCAAGACCTCCGCATCCAGTTCTTCTGCATCGAGTTCTTCTGCATCAGCTGTATCTGCATCAGGTTCACAAGGTAATTCAACTCAAGATTGCTCGGTTCTTTTTTTTACCTTATCATAAGCTCGATATGTAGTGAGATACTGTATTCGAAAGATGGTAACATAGGGTGTCCACAACGTCTCAAATTCATTTAAAATTTAAAGGGAATTTATTCATACCACATATCGTTTTGGCTCTCACAGATATATCAAATGAAGTAAACATATTTAAACAATTACTGATGAAAAAACAACAATCCTGGTCAGGATATATTGAGAACTGACTCATAACAAAATTGAAATCTCAAACGGGCTTCATAGATACTCTGTATGTCTGATTTGGCACTCTGTACCCTAGTTCTAGGTATTCCTTCTCATACCTTGGTGCAAAACTGTAACCACTAACCTATCACCCCCAGATACTTACCGACCTATTTTATTACAGTAGGGCCTGCATGGTAGCATCCACTCAGTTACGAAGCTTGATTAGTAATCTTTGTGGCTTCATACATATCTATATATAGCTTTTGTTCATTAATCCAGATGACGCATTGATCGTTTTTGATAGGACCTCTCTCCATCTCAAACAGATCAATCCAAGGTCAAATGAATGGAAGCAAATGCAGGTAAGCATAATCAGCTTTGCATGACCACACTGAATAACCTTTTAGCATATAGAAGGTCACGAATCTTTGCAAACATTATTGCGAATATACCAAATAAGCCTATTATAGTGACGAAGGAATAATTGATAAAGATAAACCGACTTCATTTTAACATAAAATATGACTTTTTATGGGGTCATCCTCATCTTCGCTCTGAACAAAGCAGTCATTGATACGATGCTGATGATGCTACCAGTTTGGGAGGTCGAAAATGAGCATCAATAAACGATTATCTCATACCATACCAAAATACTAGAATTTACACATTTTAATTCGATTCAAAAATAAAATAATCAAAACTGACATCCCTGGTGATAGTCATCAGGTTTGAACCATGGATCTTTAACTTGCAACACGAACTTAGATCTCAGTAGAGTTCCCAGGAATCTCAAACTCCCATTCTGTATATGTGTCATGTAATGAGCTGAAACTCACAAAACTCTTTCTTTATGTAGAAAATGAATGACAACATGAAGTTAGGAGTTTTCACTGCTATCGCACTGAATCAGCATATTTATGTCTTAGTCCAAGACAACACATTTTATCGACTCAAATATGTCAATGTTAATGCTACTTGGGAGAAATTGAAGAATCCGTTGGAAAATCATGGCAGATTCCCACCAATGGCTTTGGTTGATGGTTAGTAGTGTATATACCTCAACTAAAGACATCTGGTTGAATAATTCTTCATTTCAATTCATATTACCAAATACCAATGTTTTTCCAGACTTGTCCAATATTCACTACTTTATATGTTCAGTGAAAAATAATCTATATTTCAATATTTTGTCTGAAGTAATCACAAATTTAAAGCATTTTTAAGGTTTCTTACCAAATCTATATAATTTGGTGTCAATTACTAAATTTAGTTTTTGATTTATTAATCAACTAAGGTTAAAACATGGCATGTCTTAGATACATTGTTTATAAGTATCTGTAATATCAGAGGTTGGTAAAATACTTCAGTGAAATTTGTTCAAACCATTTTCTGCCTCATATCACAAATTTAAAATATTCATAATGTCAGCATATTACGTCTCCATTGTAAGTATATTGACTTTCCAATTTGAGTAATCATAAAGTCTTAAATTAGAGTGGAGCGATAAACCCAACTCTTTGTGCAGTAAAGTAACGGTATTTCATTGGCTTCTATTGTAAACAAATAGCATTGAAAATAAACAGAGGGTTATTTCCAACTAATCCAAGAATAAAATTCATTCCAATAAGACTAATTTTAATGTAATATGACAACGAAATTTTGGTACTCCCAAAGTATGCAAATCATGATGGCGGACACCGAAATGTAGTATGTGTGCCAGGATAGGGTTAGGCCATAATTTCAGGTACAAATACTATGGGAGTCAACTGGCTAGTCTTCGACCTCATAATAGAACTAAAACAAAGAAAGTTGTAATAAAATTATGGCCTTACTCTAACCTGGTACACATACTATGTTCTGGTTACCGCCATCTTGATTCACATACCAAAATTTTTACATGTTGGGTTGAATCCAATTATGTCTGTTTTATTGTTTAACTAGCACAGGTACAATTACAAACCTGTCAGGCTTCTGGATATTGTTGTAATCCCTTGTCCATAGTGATGCAATACAACATCTTGAAAAATAAATATTGTACCATTCGTCATACTAAGTTTGAACATGATGGTCATGGGCTTCAAACTGATGAACACGGGCTTGAAACCAAGAACCCTCCTATAGACCAGATGAATTTTGACTGATGCGTTGAGTATTAAAAATGTGAATCCCACATGATGAAAGGTTGGCAATGCCCTTATCATTATGCCAACACCACCTTAATATATTCATACTAAAAAAAATCCATCCAAAAATACCCAAATTGAGGTTCTATTCACATATCAGGTGAGATCTGGATTGTTGGTGGATGTTGGGGATCCAACACAACAACAGTGGAAAAGTATGATTCTCTGAGAAACCAGTGGACAAAGATGAAGAGCAAGAATGTTGAATGTAGTGGTCCTGCAGTCATCTGCATGCAAGGTAAGTTGTTTTCAAACCAGTAGAGTTTTCAAAACAAATGAAGTTTTAATGATGAAAAAAGATAAAGAATAGAATGAAAATTTTTTTATTGGATTTACTTAACATGTGGATGGAGATATGTTTTTTTGTTGTTGAAAAATCCCATCAAATGACTGTTTAAAACTGAATAAAGTGAAGCGCCGTCTGCCAACTGAATATTATGAGTTTACTAAAAAATTATATTTTTTAATGATTGCTTTCTAATAGAAGAATGCAAACATCAATAGGCTATGTTGGAATGGTAGCTTTTTTAATAAAATTAAATTTCAATGCAAGAACCCTTGAAAAGATTATATATATTATAACATTTAGGATAGGATTTACATATTTATCCTGGGGGAGAGGCCGCTAATATGGCTCATTCATATGGTAAAGCATGGCCTCTTGTCCGCTTAATATTTCATCTCGGGTTTGGGATTAGTTAGTCACATATTTGTTTTCGGATTCATGGACTTGATGGTAGAGGAAGCCGTATCTGACCAGCAAATTCGGAAACCACCTTACTATGGTGAGAAGTCCAGCAATCCTCTCGCATATAATTATTCCTAGATGAGATTCGGACCTGCGAACCCACACAGGCTAATCAGAGGTCCGATGACGAGTTTATTCTAATGCTTAGCACGTTAGTCACGTCGCAGAACATAATCACGTATTGTGAAAAGAGCAAAGTATTTTCATTTTTCAAGTTCATTATCAATGTAGTTCAAGATAAATATTATATCGCGCCTGATATGAGATCGTCGGAACCATTTAACACAAGAAGTGCTGCCAAGTGACAAATTTTAATTGTTCCTATTTTTAAATACATGGCGTCCATCTAATTAATTTTTCTCATGTTTTATATACTTAGCAACCGTAGCGAAGCTCGATTTTTGCTCGATATAGTCCAACAATCAAAATTTTTTTCTCCACTAAGTATTTTATGTTAGAGTGTAAAAGGCTTCAATTTGAAACATTCCTATAAAGTTTGTGAGATCAATAGCCAAAAATGCTGCGGTACTCAAACAAAAATTCAGTGCTTGAATACCAGAGTGCACCATGGAGTGAAATCACCCAAAAAGCACAACTGCCTCTTTAACATTCAACATGAGAGTGATGCTCAAATATATGGACACGAAGACCAAATCGAAGTAGTACAGTAATACAATGTGTCACTGTAGACTACCAGTACGGTAACCTTTACAACTAACACAAAAGCAGAGCCGGTACATGGTGTGCAATTTTAAAGACTCTCATTGCACCTAAAAACGAATACCATACGGAAATATGCTACATCGAAACATAACCGATACCAAATTTTGTATTTTTATTATGTTTGAACTTCATGTATACAGCTAAATAAATATGGTGGTTTTGGAACACTTTTTGTTAATAATTATGGTAGTTTGGAACTAACTAAAATTACTTTCATTGTTTCTTGTAGCAAAAATATTTCGGTATTTAAACAAATGTGTAGTCAAACATCAATTGAGAACTATTTATGTTCAACTACCGATGTATGTTACTTCATGAAGCTAGTATTTAAAACGAATGCTTTGTTATTGATCAAAGAGGTTGATATATTTCTTTGAACAAACTTTAAGAAATTACATCAGATATTACACATTTTCATTTAAAATCCCAATATTATGTGCTGCTGTTATGCTGGGAGCCAGAATTTTGTTTTTTTTGCAATTGCAGGGAGCATTTATAGTTTGGGAGGAGAGGAAGGATCAATTCAACCAACAAAGTAGAATGCTTCAATCTAAATACGTCAACATGGAGTTTCATTTCACCAATGCTGAATGCAAGACTGGCACCTGCTGCTGTTGAATTCCAGAATCGACTTTATGTGCTTGGTGAGTTGTACAAGTTCTTTCAAGTCTAGATCAGTGGTTCTCAAGCGGGGGTCCAGGGAGTCCGCGATTAAATTAGGATTTTAGGAAATTATTTGCAGTTTAATATCGTTTTTTTCTTTTTTGTAATACGCTCGAAAATTTGCTGCCTATGACAATGTGGCAATAGCCTACAAAAACTATTTTGATTCATCTCTAGTAGACCTATTGTGACTAATACGAGTAAAGACATCACAATGATAAATACGAAAACGCAGCTACAGTGATCACTATCCAGTTTTGGTGTGCCATTTTGTCGTCATACCCAAAAGTATCGATGGAAGCATTACGTGTTATTGTTCCATTCGCCTCCACTTACCTTTGTGAAAATGAATTTTCTGCTCTCGTTCCTATCAAATCCAAGGCTCGTAACCAACTAAACGTCGAAGACGATATGCGTCTATCGTTATCAAAAAACGACCACTTATTTCAAGACTTCTGATATGCAACAGCAAAAATCCCATTAAGTGTATTCGATTTGACAAAATAAATCCAAATGTCCACTAGTTTGGTGTTATTTTTGACTTGGTTAAATCTGTAGGAACATTAGGTTGCTGTTTAAGCATAAATTAAATTCAAATAAAAAACTTTTGAGGGGTCCGCGACCACTTTGAGAGCACCAGAAGGTCCGCAAAGACAAAAAGGTTGAAAAACCACTGGTCTAGATGACATAAAGTTCAAGCTATTTTACCAAAATGATTCAGTTCTAAAGTTTTATACTAACAGATAGAGTTGTGTTTCTTAATTTTATATGTCAAAGCACCTGATTTGATTTATCCTACCAGTGTGTGCATTAACATTTTGTATTCACTACACAGTGGCTAATCAGAGCCACAAGTAATGCTGAAATTGGACTAGTTCTGGTGTAGCAAAATCTATATTTATCGAAGGAAATTTGAATTCAATTGACGAAGCAGTAAAATTCTCTCAGATTTCCTCATTAAGTGGCACAACATTATTTGCATTTTAGACAGAAAGCTTATTTTCAAATATAGCGTGGTCATGAAAAGCTTTTGTGATCCAGGCAGGGTATCAAACCTTTATTACAGGAGAGCTAGATACGATTAAGTGGGTGAAGCCGTGGGCCGCACCTAGAAACTCTACCTATGAAAGGCTCTGGATACGAAAAATCTAACTTACAAAAATTCTTTTTGCAAAAATATTGCTCCGACCAATATAAGATTTTCCACATAAGAAAAGCGAAAGCCCGAAAACTAGCAAATCGAGTGTAGCGATATTTGTTTATTGTAGGTCAATGCTTGACGTGGCGATAAATTATCTGTCATTCTATTGACCAATTTGTTTCCTGTGGGCATGTACAATGTGTTTCTAGCAAAATTTAGTGAGATAACAATAACAGTTAAAACAAAAGTAAAATGAAATGAAAAAAGGTGTAAATTTTAAATTTCATGTGTGTGTGTGCTCATTTTTACCTTACGTTATCTCTCAGCTGTCAACTTGAGCTTTCTCTTCCGACTGCGCCGTCCTCCCACTCTCCACGGTCTTCGTTTAGTCTAGCCTAGTTGGCCAATGCCGAAGGCAAACAAATATACAGTTCGTAGTTTTTATTCAATATTTCTTCTTCTTTCCACATGTACCTTTTCTATTTATTCTACAGAAATCTAATTCGAACATGTATTTGCTGCAAGTTTTAACCATTATTATATTTTATACAAATATTATGTCTGAGTTTTGTGGGGCTTAGAACGGATTAGGGCATTTCCAAGTAAAATTTCATTCAAAATTGTCACTTCTCCGCGGGCCACACAAGTTTGCTTTGCGGGCCGCAGTTTGCCCACTGCTGGTCTAAGGCACAAGTTTATTGATACCTTGCTATATTATGCTGTCACCAAACTTGATGACTATGAGATGATAAAAACCTGACTAAGCTTTAGATTGGTTTTCTAAGTTTTAGATCGTACCTTTCAGTTTTACTCATCCCACCCAATTCTAGTCTATCTGGCATTTGATAATTTTGCTTCACAAAAAATCATCTTATGAATTAAATTCAACTTTTTTTTTATTACATTACACAACAAAAACGTGACACATGCCTTTATTTTAAAAATTGAACATAAATTAATATTGTACATATTCGAACATTATTTTTAGGCATATGCGCAGATGAAAATTATTCTGGGATTGTCATTGAAATACACATGAATTTTATGAAATTGAATATATTATATTCAAACCTATCCTATATATCTTCTGAGTACATGCAAAAGCTGATATTTTGGATGTTTGGTTTACAAGTGAATGATTTAGCTTTGTGCTGATATTAACACACTTTTACTCTTTGTGTACAAGGTGGATTTGATGAGGAAGATCTGAAAAGTGTTGAAACTTACGATCCTTCATCTAATTCCTGGACCATGTTTGCACCGATGATATCAGCTCGTCGCTTCTTTAAAAGCTTTGTTTTCAACGGGAACATTTATGCAGTTGGTGGATGGAGGTATGTATAGTTATATCATTATTATATCACATTGCATTCAGTTGCGCAGATACTAAATTTTCATTGTAATTACGTGATATAGGTAATAATAAGGTTACAGTGACGCTGATGAATATTTTACTTTTTTTTAATGATGTATGACTGGCTTCGACTTGTTTGAAATTTAATTTAAACTCCCATCTACATATGCGTGGCCAGGACGCCGAAAAGAGGGATCTTGTCATGGAAGTTCCCTCATAGTGGCTTTTAAAATAATCACCCGATTACTAGACTCTAAAATTAAGTTCTCATTCGAAGATGATTCATGAAGCGCTCTATATTTGAGTAGGCTTTCATGCTATATTTATCCCCTAAATAGGGGCATTCCTCTCAGTTAAAGTATAACCGGCTGGTTTAAATACATTAGGAAATCGACGACCAGTGCTATCAAGTATGACCCTACCACGAAAGTTTGTTCGTAAATAATGACTTCATCTGCTGTTTAATCTAATCCAACACAGAACTCCAGTAACTCAGGCCTAGCCTGGTAAACCACTTAACCTGAGAGTGATGACATGCAGATTCTATACCATTGGTTTGGACTCACATTGGTCAAGCAGACAACACTCAAATCCATGATTTCACCCAAAATACTTTATACGCTCTGTTTTCAGAATTTATCAAGTCTTGCATCCCACCTCAAAAATAACTGCTGTAGCTAACAACAAGCTACAAATAACAGATATTAAGGCGAAAGTACGTTTTATTTAAAAATCATGTTGTAAATATTTAGAGGGAACCTAAATATCCAAAATAAAGAAGTTTAAATATCTAAAATAAGGAGATCAAATAAAAAATAGTATTATTTTCAATTAGTTTCATATCCCTCTACGCGTTGTGGGGCCCCCCACCATTTGAGAACCACACAAAGCAATGGCAAATCATTAAAATATTAGTCTTTCTCACGAGTCTTAACAAATTTGGAAGCCTGTAGTAATGTATAGTATTGTAACTTATTTTTGTTCTTGTCTCTCTTTCAGTTCAATGGAAACCATGGAGAAATACGATTCTGAAAAACAAAACTGGGTGATGGTTGACATTCCTGAAGATATGGACCTTTATATATGGAACTCAGTGAAAATAAAAGCCATATGAATATTCGTACCCAACATATTGACTTCCGAACGTTCCACAGCTTCTAATTATTTTATTCCCATTTATCGTGGAACTTGATTTTTATATTTTGTATTTTGCAAATCAATCAAATATTCTTTCTGTTCAAATTGTAATTTGAACTCAGTCCCTGTATAAAACCCTTCCTCTCCCCGTACTGTCAATATTTTTATATCAACTCATATTAATTTGTGTGCGATCAAATTAGGATAGGATTTACATATTTATCTCTGGGGAGAGGAAAGGCAATAAAAATGCTAACCATATGGTTTACCACGGCATCTCGTCCAATTGCCATTTCATGTCGGGTATGGGATTAGTTAGTTATTTGTTTTTGGAAACATGGACTTGATGGTAGAGGATGCTGTAACTGACCAATGGCTACGTGAACCACCCTACGACAGCAAGAAATCCAGCAATCCTCTCACACGTAACCATTCCCACATGGGATTCGAATCTGCGACCCACGAAGAGTAATCAGAGGTGCGATGGCGAGCGTATTCCTGAATTAGAGCCCTGAATATTGTGAAAAGCCTTGCTTCCCAGCATTTACACTAACTAGGGCAAAGTTCCCAACCCTGGGGTTTTGTAGGTATTGGAAGGAATTTTGCCTTGCACTTCTGCGAATTATACCATTCTTGAGGTCTGTTTATTACTATAATACCACATTGTAAACTACTTGATTTGTACAAAAGTGAGAGTGCGATTTGCCATAACAATTTCTACTGAGCTCAGGGTCCATTAAATATTGAATTCAATGAAAAAGGTTGAGAACCACTGCACTATGGGGAGGACTACTTGGGGATTAGTTTAAAATATTCTGCTGTTAGGTTCCATTTTTAAGTACTGGGATAAATATAAAATCCTCTTTTACATTCCTTGATTTTTAAAGTACTTCCTGAAACCCTTTGATTCAATTTGCAAAAAGGAAGTTTTTATTTCTGATTTTTGTGTCCACTGTTTGTTGAATTTCTTGTGTATATTCTGTTTCCCCTACAATAACAATATATCATATTAGAGGGAGTTACTAGTTGATTTGGAAAAGCTTTCTAGTTCGACATGGACTGAACTCCAATTAGGGCGGTTATTGATGGACTAGATTGAATGAATTAAGATAAAATAAAATTGTAAAAATTGCTAGATAAAACATTGTTATTGGTGCGACATGATTCAGTCTAAGGTTAAACAAAATGTGCCAGTAATATAGGATTTCAACATCTGCTACACCATAGCATAATATTTTTCAAGTAAACTAAATTACTTTTCATGAATGCAATTATTCCCATATGCCTGTAATGAAGTTATAGATACTACACCTAAATATTATGTTCATCCTTGAAATAGGTAACTTAATTGAAATTTGAGGGTTTTTTATTCTCAAATATGCTTTTTTTTTGTCGAAAGTAGTGAGTTCTATGTCAAAGTAAATTCTTGTCTGGACACCGTCAATTTTAATTTCATGTATTTTTTATTCCAAAATAGCCATTCTAATTGTTTTTAATGCTGTATCAGTGATTTAAATGTGTTCCCTATGCACTTTGCTACCATTGTAACCTGAATACCCATACTCCAAGTTATATATTTTGAATTAATAGTACCGCCAATCGAGTGCAATGCCTCATTAAAATCAATGTTAAGAAGACTCTCCCCTAAATGAGAAATGGTAGAAATTGTGCCAAGATGTGTATGCAATATGGAAGTGATAACCAGACTCTTATGGTGCCGCAATGTAGAATCAAAACCTTTTATTTGAAAATATTTTCTAATTCTTAAATATGCAATTGTATTTTTTTAAATGA